TTTGTTTGTACAGCAAATCTGATTTTTTGGGATCCAACAGCAATGAGGTACCGACCTCCAGTTCTTTGTATGTGTCTCTTCATTTTCTACTTTCAATAAGCTGTATCTAGCGGTAGATAAAGCCAAACCACGGATTCCATCACCCCATTCCTTTTTGGCTCTATATGCAAAGAGAAATAAAATAAATATTAGGTAACTAGGTACTACCGGGGGTATTAGAACAGTCCATAAAGTAAACATTTTACTTTGATTCAGAACAAATGTAAATCAGGAATTGTAATTGCCAAAATTGAAATGACCAGTGAAGATTTGAGAGATTGACAGCTATATTACTCAATCAATGAATACATTGCAGGTGGTTGGGGCAAAACACTTCACAACAATGTCCATCATTTATATATAATAGTCTATGAAAGTTACATTTGCTGAATGAGAAGCTAATCTTCTAAATAGATGCATGTAAGCCAAGTATTAATTTTTCGTTAAATTGATTACCACCTTCAACTAGGTATTATGTTAGGGACGACGTTAAAAGATTGATGTCGGATAAAAAACTTATTTCCTTTAGTTTGGGGGTGAGGGGGTTTTGACCTCAAGTTTCCATCCTACAAAAACGATTTTATTTTTTAATGAAGTCAAATAATTCTTAGAGTATTTGTAGTTCGTTTTTTTTTTCTATCCAATCATGGACAGAAATAACCAAAAAAGAAGAAAAAAAACACAGAAAAATTGTTTGGTTCGAGAGTAAATCTGTGCGTCAAATGGTTTGCATTTGTAAAATCTTTTTACACCCACCCGACAACCAACTGCTATGCAATACTAGTGTCCGATTATCAATTTGTATTTAATGGTGAATGTAGTCTGACGCCATGACCAATATTTATCAATTAAGTTTCAGTGGGGGTAGGGGGGTTTGGAAAAAAACTAAAGGAATTAATTTTTTTATCCGACATCGATCTTTTGACGTCGTCCCTTATCTGCACATTATATGCTTCAATTTTGATATCTTTTAATGTCTGATAGTGTTAACGTACAAATTCTACAAACAATCCATGTTCACTTATATCATTGCTTAGTATTACTAACTCATAGCCGTATATACAATAAGCTATACTGAGTAATAGTATTCCAAGTTCACTACAGATGGCAACACATAAAGCAATGCTTATTGATATATACTTACCCTCTATATTCAATATATTTATAAATGGCAGCAGCTAAGAGTAAAGCCACAATAGCATAATACCAGTGAGTTACAAACATGATGATTATACAGAGTAAAGCTCCTAACAACGATAGCGTCCTGAAATGAAAAACAACAAAATATAAATACTGAAATCTGTTTTTTGCCCCTCAAAAAATCTTTGTTTACAATTTAGACCATGGAGATCTGAAAAATGAGCAGTTACCAAATACTATAAACATGGTTGGAATAAAAATGTTAGTATTAAATTGTCAAGTTGATGAACTGAAGATTTAGTGTTTCTAACCCATGATATTTCAGATGAAAAATTTATGAATTATACATTGACCCATATAGTAGAGGTAGAGTACATCAAAGTAAATACAGTAAAATTTAAATACTGAACTATGGAGACTTGTCTTTTTCATTGTATTGAAGTACCTATATTCTCTATCACTATTATTACTCTGTACACACACAATGTATAGCGCTGAACGCTTACCAATGATAATACTTAAAACGTGGTCTCCAATTTGGTGAGCGTAACAATGTTTGTAACACACAAACAAAGTTCACAAATGCATAACACATCAGGAAGAACCTGCAAGACAAAATAAAAACAGTTTTCTATAGTCAACAGCTTTTTAACATACGGTACTTTAGCAATAGTCCTAGCCTAGTCTCTACTTTTCATAGAATTCAATATCTGTTTCATATAATGTTATGTATATTTGAGTGGCCATCAACACATTACAATCAAGTACCTAATTGGTAAAAATTAAAAAAAATTAATGAGATACTGGACAATTATCACATAACTACATGGTGCATATCAGGCACAGTTGTGACAATTACTGTAAAATATATCCAGCTTATATGGTACAGAATACAACACAATATTCACGATAAACATCATCATTATGTGTTTGAACAGTACATGTGTATGTAGAAAAAAAATCATGCGACAGTACTATAACCCTTGCAGCGATATGTGAATATCAGACTGGATAACAGCAACAACTCAAATGGTACAATGATACTAACTCGTAATAATATAGACAAAGTTACTTTTGAAAGATATCGTTAAAAGGATATTATTTCGATAGTTGGTGGTGGCCGATGCTGTAAATGCCTTATATTAGCATTATGATTCATAAGTGTAGAGCAGTAAAATTATAATTTCTGCAAATTTTTTGGCACTCTGAGTGGGTCATGTGATTGAAATGTGTAGCATTTGATTCATGAATAATTAAACTAGATGACACTCATGTTACCCAGCTCAACAAAGTAAAATCAGGTGATAACCTCATCACATTAATTTGTATCGAAAAAAATGTTTAGTTAATTTTATAATGTGAGTTATCTTCAAGTGGAATTTGTTACAGGTAAAAGGAAAGTATGTGTTTTCACATTTATGTAATCTATTCGTAATTAAAAATATTTTTATATATACAATGGATATTATTATCAAAATAACTTTTATCTTTCTACTTTACATTACATGCATTGTCATGAGTTTATAAAAAGCTTATAAGCCAGCGTTATGTTTATATGCTCAAAGTAACTGCTGTACATGTGTCATTGATATGAGGTGTACTGTATGCTATTGTCCCCTGGAATGCATAGTTTCGTCCTTGCCATATAAAAGTAACATAAGTACATGGCCTGCTTGGAGTGAATAGAATAGCGAGCAGTGGCATACATACAAGGCACATTAACCATTTGAGCAGAACTTTTCACCATTACAAATTAAAAGTAGCCAAAATACTGCATTACAATTTTGGTGGTAGATAGCATTTCATTTCAAGGGTTAAACACTTATGGAACACTCATCCTTATTTAATTTGTGATCAAACTAACAATTGTTAATAATGAGTTGATTATGCTGGAATCAAAATAAATTTGCTCATATTTTTTTCTTGTAATTACTGTACTGCTCCCCAATACCTCTGTAAACAAAATATTTCAACTAAATTTATATCATTGCAGATGAATGTCACTACATGCATGAAAAACTTTGCACAATATTTCACCACAATACCACAACGCTACACTCAGCAAATGAAAATGATTATAAATTTGAAGCAGCTAGAGGAAAATCGCTTTATGCATAGCAGAGAAAACAAGCATGGAATACTGAAAACCAATCTCTTAGGAATGGTCTCAGGTAGTCACACTAAATCTAGCGACTTTAGGAGTGACAGTTCAGTTTTGAACATCAACAGAAAAAGCAATAATAATGGGAATTATTTACGTTTTGTTCAAGTCAATATAAGTCAATTTTAATATTAAATATTTCAAAAAATGAAAGAATTAAGATTTCTGAGATATTCTGTGACTTTTTGTACATTACCTGACCTGGGTTAGACTCAAAATGAAATGATATACTCACATGTCAACAACAGGAGCTACATGATCTAAAGCACCAATAAGAATTCCTAACTCAGCAATTACTATGGTGATAAAAAGAGCTCTGATAGGTTCTCCTCTCTTAGTTATAACACTGAATACTCCTAAGAATGGTATTACGTTATCTTTAGCTATGGCTTGCAATAAACGTGGAGCACCTACAATAAAATAAATTGTATTACACATAATCACTATAAAGTTGAAGGCCCAATAAATAAAGCAGCTAATATGCTGTAAAATTATATAGTAGTTAAAAAGGGAATCATTCTTATTTTTCTGCCATCTAATTTTTAGGCTTTTGATAGTTGATGTTTCAACTTTAAAGAGCACTAAATTTAGTGTATGTTTTGATTGTGCTAAAGAAATTACATTACACAGTAAATCCTGCCCAGAACAAGAATCTGAGATACTGATTTTTTATTGACACCAATACCCAGGAACATGTTCAATGTTAGTGACATACAAAATGTACTGTAGAACGCGTTGAAATAGCTGCATGCAATTTTAGCGGATTTGACTCTTTGCATGAATTAACAGAATCTTAATTTAGCTAAAGTGTTCACTATACCCCTGTGAGAATATACTTTTTGTTAAATTAGCTGCATCTTGAATTAGCGAAATTACAGATTAGCTAAAATAGCTAAAACAAGCCATGCATGGCACAGTCCCCGTTAGTTATCAAATTAAAGATATATAGTTTTGTTTATAGTAATATAGCTGAAATTTAAAAATGCAGGAATATGATTGTGATAATTGTTTAACATTTAAATGATTGACATTTGTATCTGATCGTCAAACGAGTATTGAGAGATATTGCTATGTAACAGCATTAATTAAAACAAAATCAGCCATTTTGAATACATGTATAATGAATAAAAAAATTTGAACATAATCAGTCAAAACATGTCAGAGATATGGCTCTAGAAGCCCATTGATTAAAACAATATCTATATGTATAATATCATGTATGATGTATGTGTGAAGTTTGATTATAATTGGTACAAGCATTTCTAAGATACAGGTCCGGGCGCCAAAACATAAGTCCCCGTTTTCGGACTGCGTTCGAACGGGGACTAATAACATGCTAGCTAAAAAGACATGTTTTACAGTAGATTCCCATATAAGGGAAAATTAAAATGTTGGAACAAGTACAAATATATTTTTTTTACAAAACAGTGTAAGAGATGTATAATGAATTATATTTGATTGTAAATAAACTACATAATAAATAACATTTTTGAAATTCATATTTTTCATCTCTACAGTATGGTCTTTGAGCTAGCATAATACATTATATGATTTACAGCCCTCTAGTGGCGTGAAATAACTATGCTGCTAATACCACCACCTGTTAGATGCAAGATATTCTAAAAATATATCTACTAATATGGGATATATTTATTCTTACTTACTGCACAAACACTGTAAACCAGCACCAAATGTTGATGTAAATGATCCGACAAGTAGCACCCATTCGTTGGGCCAAGCTAACTGAGCAACCACCATACTACCACCTAAACTCTCTCCATACCTAAATGAAAACAGATAGGTAGACAATTAATGTTTTCTTTGTATTTGTTATTCTATTATTTCAAGAAATAAAAAACATATACTACACCCATCCTTAAACAACAAAATTGGCTTTTGGTTCTGCATAGAATTCACTTGAAAGTCAAGCAGTACCACAAGCACAAGAGACACTTTACCACTTAAGCTTGGGGGCTTAAACTTCAGAGTTGAGAGGAACTCATTTTCAATGCCAATATTGACAAAACTGCCTTGGCATAATTGTAATAACATAGGAAATATCTGGAGCATCAAGATAAACTCACTGGGCATCAAGGTAATGCTTTTGATGCATTCATAAAGTTCAAGACTTGTGAACTACAAAAACCTACCATTGACATCTTCTGGACAAATCTAAAAACTTGCATAATCACTTGAGCCTTCAACAAACTAACCGAATAGCATCAATGAACAATACGTTGTACAGGATTCTGGTACTTTATACATGTAAATTTCTTTGATGCATGTGTAACAATGTTAACGCAACAATTGTAAATTGGAGTTTTAGAGAAGACTTACTTGTCTAAAAGCAGTGATCTATCAATAGTAGCACCAAATAGTAAGACAAAGGTAAGATCTAATCAGATATTAAGGAAACAGTATAATTCCAGAAATGAGGTTTCTGAGAAACATGTAGCTTCACGATTAACAATGGATATTTCAATTAGAGAATTAAAGATATCATCATGAAATGAACAAATCTAAGAGAGGTCTACCCAAGGTACATATATGTATAATACCAAAACAGTCAGATTTGTGGTTTTCAACAAGTCGAAAATATCACTTTCTACCAAAAATGACAAAAATATTCACCAAAATTAGAGAATTGAAGATATCATCACGAAATGAACAAATCTGAGAAAGGTCTACATGTAGTATCTATATATGTAATATCAAAGCAATTGAACTTTTGGTTTTTAACAAGAAGTCGAAAATATCACTTTTTACCAAAAATTACAAAAATATTCATCAAAATTAAAGAATTGAAGATATCTTAATGAAATGAACAAATCTGAGAGAGGTCTACCCAAAGTACATATATGTATAATACCAAAACAGTCAGATTTGTGGTTTTCAAC